AAGGGTTTAGGGGTTTAGGGGTTTAGGGTTTTAGGGTTCAAGGGTTTAGGGGTTTAGGGTTCAAGGGTTTAGGGGTTTAGGGGTTTAGGGGTTGTCTGTTAAGGAGCTCAGATTAAGCTACCAGATTTTGGGCGATAGTAAATAATCAGACTTCCTTATTATAGTATCTTAATTTAAGTTCCTTACCAGCAACCCAGATTGGGGATTTGGGTGTAGTGTGTAGGGTTTGGGCATGTAGTGGAGTCTACCAGGACCCGCCAACAACCCTTAAATAGGTTCCATGTAGGTCCTGGTTGTGGGAATTTGGGCGCCGGAGGGTACGTCAGGGGTCTAAGTAGCGGTTTGGGCTGGGCACTTGTAGAGTTCAGGGCTCAGAAGCGAAGACTTAAAGCCTTAGGATTGGGGAGATGTCGTATGGCATAGTGGCATACAGGCTTCACAAGGGTTCAAGGTGCGGGAGGCCAGAGCAACTGGATCGAACACAAGGGACTGGCTGGGCATAAATCTGAACGGGGCCCTTACCACCACTGGCGTTGCAGCATGCAAGTATTGGCTATTGGGCAATTTGTAATGGTGGCAGGCAGCTCATGCTGTTCACTGTAGCACCCCACGCAAAAGTTGATTAATGAACCTGGAGGATTCTCCTAAACTTTCTCTCCGGGTATACCCTACGTGACACCTCAGCAAACCTTTTAGCCTAAACACTGAATCCCCAAAGTCTAAAAGCCTAAACCCTTGTGCATGGAAGATTATGGTTGGAAAGGCTTTGGCTTGCACAACTGCTGGCAAACGGCACCGTGCAACCTACAAACGCTTAATAAATCCAGCTGAGAGTTCCCTACTCGAAGGACAAGAGCCCTTCTGAGGAAAAAAAAGTCATTGAAAATGCTTGCTTTGCCATTGCCACCCCTGCTATCATCTCCCTAGCTCCATCCAACATAGCTAGACCTGTTTAGAGCCTGTGCCTCAGGCCACCAGGCATCCTTGCGTCTTGCCGGAAGGACCTGAAAGCACTCACTTGGAGCAGCCGATGTCAAGCGGTATGACTGCGCGCATTCACATCCTAAGATGACAAAAGCTGGCGAGAAGCTACTTGCCGCAGATTAAAACATTGAGTGCGTACCTGAAACGGCACGAATCACCAAAACACAGGATTATCCGGTAAATGAAGAGACAGGTAATGTCCATATATGAGCCATAGTCTAAACTCCTAGTATGCCTCTTGATGACCCCTATAATAGTCCCATACAGAATCCCCCATATAACCTCATGTAAGGAGTTTAGATTATGGCTCATATACTACGAAGCAGGTTGACCAAGCTTTGTTGAGCCTTTGCTGGGCGCCTTGCGCTTTTCGCTTCTGGAAGCTGCACCTGCAGGAGGGCAATACGGGAGCCTAAAGTCTACCCAAAAGAACTTTAAAATCAACCCTCACGCGCAGCCTTATGAAGCACTGGAAAACCTATGACCCCCCTGTACCCTGAATTCTAAATCCATATCCTACACTGAACCCTGAACCCTATACCTTTAACATTGAACCTCATATCCTGACGCCCAAAATCCAAACACTCACCCCCCGCCCAAGTGTCAAGCCAACTAAAGCCGCTCTACTCTACAGAGTATACAAACCCTTAACCTTAAGTATTGTAATATCCATCCCCACCCCACGGGCTCAAGGAGCTAGTAAGCATTCCATAGGCTTGAATTAGCCATAACGGACTTTTAAATCTGAGGAGAATACTCTAGGGGATGATCGTATAACCCCTGATAGCCCACAAACCCTATACCCTAAACCCTATACGCTAAACCCTAAACTTTAAGGGCTTCGCTTGTGTGCGCCAGCGCAGTGTGGCTTGGCTTCCAAAACGACTTGTTAGCAAAGACACTTCCGGAAAATGCTTGTTTCAAGTGAATCGCTTCAGGGAGCCCCCCCCTCCCGTAAACATGTTTTCAGCTTAGGGGCCCTGGTGACATGGAGGTTTAGGGAGCCACCCTCGTAAGAACTTTCCACGAGACCATTGCTGAGTCTTGGGGGATTTCCCCCCAGACCATCCTAGATCTTCCGCCGATCGCTTCTCAGCTTTTAGGGGGCTTGGTGAAATTGGAGTGCGGGGCGCGCCCCTATAGGTTCACCAGGGTGCACCAGAGATGAATTTGCCTAGGCACCAGACTGGGCAGCTCCCGGGCCGTTTGCATATTTTTGGTCGCAGACCCTTTTTAGGCGACGGCGGGCACGCACAAAAGTAAAACAGCGAAAAATGAATCTTAAGCTTTGGGGCGCGGTCTAGTAGAACAGCAGTACACCAGTAGATGAATTTACCTGGGCGCCCGCTGCGCTGGCGGACCCTTTACCCTAAACCGCTATACCGTTAACCGCTAGACCCTGAACCCTATACCCTGTACCCTAAACGCCGGCGGTTTTTTTTTTAAGGTTTGGCTCCACCTTTTTTCTTTTAAAGGTTTGGCTCGATACTGCCTCTCGTCTCCTTGTAACTGTCATCATTTTTAG